CAGTGACCTGACTTGACTCATGATAATGAACTGTAACTTGACTTGACTCATTATGATCAACTATGACTAAACTCGACTCAGGAAGATCAGCGGTGACTAGACTTGACTGAGGAAGATCAACTGTGACCTGACTTGCCTCATGACGATCAGTTGTGACTTGACTAGACTCAGGAAGGACAACTGTGACTAGACTTGACCCATGACGATCAGCTGTGACTAAACTTGACTCATGATAATGAATTGTAACTTGACTTGACTCCTGACAATCAACTGTGACTTGTCTAGACTCATAACTATCAACTGTGACTTGACTAGACCATGATCATAAACTGTGACTTGACTAGACTCGTGATGATCAACTGTGATTAGACTCGACTCAAGAAGATCAGCTGTGACTAGACTTGACTCATGATAATGAATTGTAACTTGACTTGACTCCTGACAATCAACTGTGACTTGTCTAGACTCATAACTATCAACTGTGACTTGACTAGACTCATGATCATAAACTGTGACTTGATCTGCCCCATGACGATCAACTGTGACTTGACTAGACTCATAACTATCAGCTGTGACTTGACTGGGCGCTGTTGTGTCTGCCATTTTGTGATCAGACTCATCTGTCGCCGCCATTTTGTGAACGTAATCTAGTGCGGAGGCCATTACAGGAGTAAGTGTGGGGTTGCGTTCCTCCGCGATACCCACAGTCCACAAAGAGCCAACAGTCAATAAAGCATAATCCATGCACTCACAGTGACGAACGCGGCCCCTTAAGGATGAGCCTAGACTTCAGCGGTTGCCTAACGCCACTATAAAAAAATCTATTAGAACACAGTCCGGTAGATCAGAGTGATAGGCAATGTCCAGATATTCTTGAATGTACGCCTCGAGCGAGCGTGTGCCCTGCTCAAGGGCTAACAACAGCCTTGCAGTGTCCATACCTGGCCAATGAATATTTTCTGAAATGAAATAGCTTTTTTAGCTTATTTTATCGTCTAGTTTTGGATATGAATAAATCTTCCGGTCATACATAGATTATCTTGTTTCTTTGCCCATGTACACACACATCCAAAGCACGCACACAGAAAAAGTTATTTTAAATGCATCTGATTGACAGATAAATCATGGTTGATCTATCAGCCAGATGCACGTAAAAATGCATGCACTCTTATTTCAGTGTTGTTGTTAATGTTGAGGTTATTTTAGCTTCGTACATTTAGGTTCACTTCACTGTTAAAGAGGGCGATTTTTACCATTCAACGTGCATGTATTTTAGACACTTACATTGTTCTTGCTCCATCCATGCAATAAGTGCATCCTTCTATCAAACAAGTTTCTATTTACTTATACTGTTGTGTAATATCGACGGTATGACCCATTTCAGGAGCTGACAAAATTACGATTTAAAATCAGAGCATGCATAGCTCACATTCACTAAAATACTGAAATGCTAATGATGCTGATTCAAAACGACAATGCAGGTGATTGACAGTCAAAGCATAGCGCGGTTTGAACCTGTCTGTTATTGTCTGAAGCCCAGGGCTCCACCCCAGCAGTTTGAAAAGTGCCCGTCAAACACCGGCTCGCTCTGTTTCTCCATCGGCGCCTTCTTTGATCTCCTTTGACCACTTTTTTTTGTACTTTTGGTGAAAAATAAATGTAGCGAAGTTGAATACTTTAGTTTTATTCTACTCAAGTAAAAGTACCACAATTTAATTATACATTTTATTATAAAAATGTACTCAAGTACTGTAACGAAAGTATTTGTAATTAGTTACTTTCCACCTCTAGTTTGAAAGAAGTCTCTTATGCTAACAAAGGTTGCAGTGAAATTAGTAATATTGCAAAATATCATTACAATTTAAAATAATATAATAATATTTTTGTGGAAGCTGTAATAGATTTTTTAAGGATTATTTGATGCATAGAACATTCAAAAGAACAGCATTTATTTAAAATATAAATATTCTATCTATATATATAAATAAATAAATAAATTAATTAATTAATAAAAAAAGTTATTCTGGGCTTCTTTCATGTACTCTTACGCAGTCCATACAATTTTTATCTGCATGAATAAATTATGTTTTTACATTTTTATTTACATATTATTTAAAATATTTTTATTTATTTATTTTATTTTGCATTTTTGCAATTAAATACATACATATATATATATATATATATATATATATATATACACAATTTATATTAAAATGTTTTATAGTAAAATATTTTAAATACTTTTTTTGAACACTACACAGTACATAATAAATTTTTTTTGCGATTTATTTACATCATTCTGTTCCTCTGTGTTGTCATTTAATCCAAAGTTTCTTTCTCCCTCTCTTTCCCTTTCCTACAGCTCTCCTCTACGCCACCATCTTCGGTAATGTGACAACTATCTTCCAGCAGATGTATGCTAACACAAACCGCTATCATGAGATGCTGAACAGTGTGCGAGACTTCCTCAAGCTGTACCAGGTTCCCAAAGGCCTGAGCGAGAGGGTTATGGATTACATCGCCTCCACGTGGTCCATGTCCCACGGTATTGACACCGAAAAGGTGAACACCCAATTACACCCAACGCCCAACTCCAATTACCCAACATGCAACTCTGGACACCCTTCAGCAGCCATCCTCCTGTCTGTTGTGTGTGTGTTATTCACTCCTGCTCTGAAATGTTTGTGTGAGTGTGTCTGGCTGAGTATTTTTAAACATTAGTGTGATTCTTTAGCAAGATGCTTTCTCACACTATGTGTTTAGACTCATCCTGTCGTTTATGCTTAACCACAGGAGGGGAACAGCATGACTGTGGATATGAAGTCCCCATTGGGCGGACATTGTCAGAATGCTCCAGATGTCTCCTTCTCTCTCTCTTTCTTTCTCGTGATTTAGCCGTCTCATCACACAGACTCACACTGTTCTCCCAGAGCCAACCTCCATGTCTCCGTGACAACCACATGCAGAAAGGGAGATGCTCTAGAAAAGTGAGGGGCTGCTGGGAATGGCAGCTCTGGCACATGTCACACGCTAATGCACTCAGATGCACACATGCACGCCGGCACGCGTGTCCTGTACCTCTGTCTCGGCCTCCCAGTATGCTTCACTGGCATGACAGTAAACATAAATTTGATGGTGTGAGACAGTGGCTATAAAAAAGAAAAATGCAAATTTTTAACAATGGAAAAAATAATAATTGGGGCTGTCAGTGTTAATTTTGTGCAATTAATATTGTTAATTTAGTACAATTAATTATTCATTATTATAAAAAAAGAAAATTTAATGAATGTAATCATGCCCCGGCCGATACAAAAATTCCAGAAGAAGGGATTTTCCATCAAAGAAATGCATTTAAAAACAACTGGAAGTTGAACATTTAACTTGACGACTTAGCTCATAAAAAATAGAAAAATTATAAAAATAATAAAAATGTACATAAAAAAACAACAACATTTATTGTCATCAGTAGGGATGTGCCCGAATAGTGAATCTGAATTCAAAAAGGCACAGAAAACGAATAACGTGTTCTACAGAAGCCCTAAAGGGAATAAATATGAGATTGGGGGAAAAAAATATATTTCAATGCTTTCTCTCGCAAGTAGATTGTTGGGTAATTATACTGTAAGTTATATAAATTGTGGGCATCAGGAAGCCGCTATTAATATGCGGGACATTGAAATCGCTTTTGAATGCGCGCTCGCTTTTTACTTGAGCTTTCGAGATTCACGATCACACGTACTCTGTGTATACGGAGCGCCAGTACTTACCAAACATTTCACAAGATTAGATTTTTGTCAGTGGTGCTCTGGATCTGCAAATCATTCGCCATTGTCCTATCAGTCATCTCTCCTTACTCTGTGTATGTGGTAATTGAAATTGTATGTACTGTAATGTAACAGGCTACCGCTAGCAAGCGGCTAACCATGTCCTTTTAGTGGCTCCAAACATGTTATTTGTTTTCTGTGCCTTTCCAAATTCATATTCAATATTCGGGCACATCCCTAGTCATCAGAATTGGAATATAACCATTTCAGTCATGACAACTCTATGAAATTTTAGCACGTTAATGGATATGACAATGTTAATCTATTTGGTCTTGGCAGACTAGATCTGCTGCAGAGCAAGTATGGACTTGCAACTGCTAATAGATACACAGACATGCTGCTGCGAACGTGTAAGGTAGATCTAGACAGGTGGAACTGGGGGAGGTGGAGGGTTTCAGAGGAATTCTGGCAGGACCATCTTACAGTGAACACTGAAGTAGGCTACTTAAATGTTGAGCAATTTCATTGGCTGCAGAATCAACAGAGCCTATCAGCTTGTACCATAGAGTAAATTATGTGATTGCTATAAGATTGCATGTAAAGGCCTGTCTAGAGTTTCATGAATTAATTTTAATTTTGACATTCAACAATTTTATGTATGCAGCCAGGAAATTGTTAAATTAGATATTGAAGAGATGTTGTTGTTTAGTTTTGTGCTTATAATCTAGTCTCTTGCTTGTTGCCATTTGTATGTATGAAAGTTATAATGTTTTTTCATAGTACATTGAGCTCTTTTATCTCAAAAGGCAAGGCAAGGCACATTGTATAGCACATTTCATACACAATGGTAATTCAAAGTGCTTTACATAAAAGAAAAGAAAAACAATAATCACAACAATAAAACAAGGAATTTAAAAACTTTGAAAATTATATAAAAAAAATTGATTTAAGAGGTTTAAAATGAATTTAAGAAAACGATTATACATAAAATACAGTGCAATCAGTTCGGACATCGCACAGTGCTCAGATCAAGGAAGTTGCAGCAGAGTAACCACTTATATCTGTTATTTCTCTCTCCCATTACAGGTTTTACAGATCTGTCCTAAAGACATGCGTGCTGATATATGCGTGCACCTGAACAGGAAGGTTTTCAAGGAACATCCTGCTTTCCGTTTGGCCAGTGATGGCTGTTTGCGGGCTTTAGCAATGGAGTTCCAGACCATCCACTGCGCTCCAGGAGATCTTATCTACCATGCGGGCGAGAGCGTGGACAGCCTCTGTTTTGTGGTGTCAGGGTCACTGGAGGTCATCCAAGACGACGAGGTGGTCGCCATTCTGGGTAAGAGGAAAACAGAGACAGAGAAATAGATCTGGATCTGAATTAATGAATATTGACTAGGTATGGATCATGATGGCTGACTAGCCATCCAGCATCTGACTAGATTAGTGAGGTCAAGTAGTTTTCGATTATTTTATTTGCTACATTTGTAGCAGTGGTGCAAGCTGTTAGACAGTTTTGACTACTCGATTTTGAACAGCTTAAGTCTGCTTCAGCTGTTACTGTATTCAAAACTAATTTCCTCTACAGACTCATTGACATGAAGACAGCATCCCTCTTGGGTTTAGTTCCCAATGGGAGGATTATTTGCATCCACAGAGCTTCTATGTGATCATATATCTTGACTGACACACATGCTATCACACCCACTCCTCCGCACTGTGCTATCCCTCTCCCTTTTGTTTATTCCCACAGCCTGCTCCCTGTATCCTCTTTGATCAATGTGTCCGACTCTTTCTCTTCCTCTGTGCGAAAAACATTCAGAGAACAATAATAAAATAAAATGAAGTGGAAATCTGACTAGATTAGTGAGGTCAAGTAGTTTTCGATTATTTTATTTGCTACATTTGTAGCAGTGGTGCAAGCTGTTAGACAGTTTTGACTACTCGATTTTGAACAGCTTAAGTCTGCTTCAGCTGTTACTGTATTCAAAACTAATTTCCTCTACAGACTCATTGACATGAAGACAGCATCCCTCTTGGGTTTAGTTCCCAATGGGAGGATTATTTGCATCCACAGAGCTTCTATGTGATCATATATCTTGACTGACACACATGCTATCACACCCACTCCTCCGCACTGTGCTATCCCTCTCCCTTTTGTTTATTCCCACATCCTGCTCCCTGTATCCTCTTTGATCAATGTGTCCGACTCTTTCTCTTCCTCTGTGCGAAAAACATTCAGAGAACAATAATAAAATAAAATGAAGTGGAAATGTTGAAATTTTGAGCATGAAACATGTTAAATTATGCAAAATATGGCCTAAGCTGATGATAAAAAGTAACAATAAAAAGATATTTGAAAAGTAATTGAACTAAAATATGCTTTAAAGGGGTCCTATTATGCTCTTTTACAAAGTCTTGATTTTGTTTTGGGGGTGTACTAGAACAGGCTCTCATACTAGGTTGTTCGAAAAACACATTACATTTCACATATTTTACATTATTACAACCCCTCTCTCCCCAGTCTGGCATGAACGGCTCGAATAGTTCCTGTACCAAATGAAGGCCCGCCTTCTGAAATACGAAATGTGCTGTGATTGGTTAGCTGGGCCAGTGTGTGCTGTGATTGGCAGAACTCTGCGCCTGGTCGGGAAATGACATGCCCCTTACCATAACCGCCTGCTGCTAGCTTCAGTGTAAATATTGCGTCAAAATCAAATCAATTTGAGCGTGATTTAAACCCAGATGATTGTAACCACTCTAAGTTCGTCTGCCTTGGGGAAACTAGCGCGTCTCCAACATAGTGATAACTCTCGTTGCCTTCTCTAGTGCAGCTCAACCAGGTCTCGTCCCATTCGTCGATATTTGTGATATCACAAATCCCGTAAAATATGCGTTGTAGTCCAAACGAGTCGTTCGTTGTAGTTTTTGAAAAGTGATTTCTGTTATATAAAATATCTCCTTTTTAAGTGAACTTTGAGCTTTGTAACTTTGCAGATCTTTTTTATGCTCAAACAGCAACATTACAGACTAACTAAAGTTGAAAAAGTGAAAACGCATAATAGGACCCCTTTAAGATGTTTTTAAGATCTTCTCTAAGTATCAGTTCATCCTTTTCTGGCAGTAATATCTGCCACACAATGAACTATGAGGGTTTATACCACAGAAAGCTTTAAATGCATAGATCTGATATTTTGATCTGATTTTATTGTCCTGCCTGTCGTTACAACTGAGACTAGTATTATTTCATTCTTTTTTAGTATCAACCCAACATCCCTAAAAAAGAAATAAAAAAAGCAAACAGTGATCTTAGGTCAGACATGTGACTCATGGATGTATACAGCCCAATGATGTATTGTATAGCATCTGTCATTTCTAACATCTGTCTGTCTCACAACACAAGATTAGGCTGCTTCGCCTCGTGAAGCCAGCTGAGCATCTAATGGTCGTATCTTTCTCTGTTGACAAACTAACGATGCTTTGCTAAATTTGGCTGTCTGTCGCGGCTGTTAAATTGATTTAGGATCAGTCTGAAAGGTCACAAATGTTCTCTCTTGCTTCTAAAATTTGAACACACACACGCAGATCAGACTATGAAGACAGAATAAAAAGGTTTATCGCTCTGACCACTTGTATCTCGAGTGGGTGGATTGAACGAAACTTCAGAGGTTAGAGGTCAGTATGGGTGTAGGGTGGTGTGCTACACTGTGACCTGTAGATCTATAATGACACTGCTGCTCTACTACATAGATTATTGACTCTCTCTTTTCATTCACTCTCACTTAAAAGTACAAAGAAACAGTGCAGTGACAGTGCCCTTATTTTGGGTGTTTATTCCTCCTTAAAAATCAGTTCAAGCAACTACAAAACTGATACTGAGCTCAGTCCAAGACAATCATTAATTGAAACTGTGCTGCACCAGTATGCTTTCTTTTATTCCAAACATCTTTAACTTTCTGATGTTATAAAGATAAATTAATTAAAAGGACAGTTCATTCAAAAATGAAAATTCTTTCATCATTTATCCCTTATTTGTTTAATTTCCCATATATTTACGACTTACTTTATTCTGTGGAACACAGAAAATGATGTCTGGCAGAAAATTGAAAAATGTAGGTTATTATACACAAACTCTTCCCATATCATACATACACTACCATTCAAAAGTTTGTCTCTTATGCTCACCAAGGAATGCATTTATTTGATCAAAACTACATTAAAACTGTAATATTGTGAAATATTATTACAGTTTTAAAATAACTGTTTTTCATTATATATATTTTATAATGTAATTTACTCATGCAATGGCATAGCTGTATTTTCAGCAGCCATTACTCCAGTATACGGTGTCACATGATCCTTCAGAGATCATCAATATGCAGATTTGGTGCTCAAGAAACATTTCATGTTATTATCAATGTTTAATATTTTAGTGGAAACCGTGATACATTTTTTTCAGGATTCTATATATTTAGTGCATCAAGATGCATCAATGATATCGACCACCATTGATTCTTGATGTCGCATAACCAAATGCGATACTCTAGATCTCACTAGAGGTGCTAAAATATCTCTCTCCACCTGCAGAAAGGAATCTGGATTCTAGAACATTTACTGAGACACAAAAGAACTGTAAAAAATTTATCTGAGTGGACATTTTGGCTCTGTAACCCTATTCATCCTAGATGTGAGCAGATGGAGATGGATGGACAAGACTTTTGTGCATTTGTTCATTTCAATAATGGATTGTAATGGATCATCTCATCATTCCTCCTCTGTCAGACATGCTTATGATACAGTATCTGGAGCTATATCCTAAGTGAGTCATAATGAAAGTGTGCTTTTATGTGAGAATGTTTTGCCAAGATATTATTGTAAAAAAGATTTTAACAGTGCTGACATGAATCTGACATGTGTTTGTGGTGGAGTTTTACTCAAGTTGAATTTCACACCAATGAAACCAGTACACATGATCTGTCTACTGCAATCTGAGACAGAGAGGAGAGACAAAACAGAGAGATCATTTGCAGTATTTTTGCTGCAAAAAAAGAGTGTTAGAAAATAAGAAATAAATTAACTTAACGTGGTTTGTTCTTGAAACAACTGAAACTGGAATACATCATGCACTTATATTCACTGAAAACAAGTCATAATAAGAAAGAAGACACTTATGCTCACCAAGGCTGCATCGAACAAAAAAAAAAAATTATTACAATATAAAATAACTGTTTTCTATTTGAATTTGAAATTTAAATGTAATTTATTCCTGTGATGGCAAATCTGAATTACTCCAGCCTTCAGTGTCACATTATTTAGACGGTCACGGTCCTCCATAAATGTACCAATCAGGTCTGTTTGTGTGAATAAGAAAGTGTCTGTGTTTCTCCTCAGGTAAAGGTGATGTGTTTGGGGACGTGTTCTGGAAGGAGGTGACACTAGCTCAGGCGTGTGCTAATGTGAGAGCGCTAACATACTGTGACCTGCATGTGATCAAACGGGACGCACTTCAGAAAGTCTTAGAATTCTACACCGCCTTCTCCAACCACTTTTCACGAAACCTCCTGCTTACGTACAACCTGCGCAAACGGGTGAGTAAATGCTGTCTGCCGTTTTCTATAAATACTCTTACATTTTCCGCTGGCCCATGTCAAACCACATATGTAAGCAGAATTTCTCAGCACCCACATTAACAGGTTACTAAATTTAAATTTCACAGCACAGCATGAGCACAGCCTGAAGTAGACTGTAGCATGCTGAACTCTTGGGAAAATATAAATACAGCTCCTAAAGCTATTTATCAACATACTCACATACATCACCACACGTAAAAAAAATTATATTTCGTAAATCCAGATGATTTAAGCAGTGTAATATCTACACTTTGGGCTTTAGGTATTGCAATATTTTTTTATTGATTTAATACTTAACACACAATAACATTGTAATTAATCCAGTAAATATATGGATGATACTCCAACATAGTATGCGGCAGTATAGCAACTTAAAACGATAGTTCACCCAAAATGAAAATTGCTCACCCTCATGTTGTTCCAAACCTGTATGACTTTCTTTTTTTCTGTAAAACATAAAATATATTATTTTGAAGAATGTTGTTAATCAAATAGTTTCAGTTCCCATAGACTTTCATTGTCTTTGTTGTCTATACAGTGGAAGTCAATGGGAACCACAACTGCTTGGTTACCAGCATTCTTCGAAATATCTTCTTTTATGTTCCTCCAAAGAAAGAAAGTCATACAAGCTTGGAATGACATGAGGGTGCATAAATGGTGACAGAATGTTTGGGTGCCACTGGTCTTAAAGTGAAAAAAGAAGATAACGCCATGCGTAGCCACTACTGCCACAGAAAATCACGACAGTGGAGATGAGAGATGAAACCGGGAGTCCCTACACTTATTTAGAATGTGATTCATTGGCCAAAAAGAGAAAACATGAAAGAAAGAGAAAGTCTGATATTGTGAATGTGCCAATACAAACAACAGCTGTGATAATTAATGTGAGTGAGAGTTGTTTATATATATGAATTGAAGAATGGTGTACCATTCATCTGACTGAAAGCAAAGAGAAAGAAATCAGTAGACCTGCTTTACCATTCAATCAGAAAGAAAGACAGATGGAGACAGAAAAAGAGAGAAATGGTCTGATCAGAAACACAAACAACACTAAACTGACTTGTTTAATTGGCTAGAAATGACTGAAAGGTGGATTAAGGGAATAAAGGAAATGCAGGTTCTTTCTAATCCCTGTTTTTTAAAAATGCAATTCTATTGGCTTTAATGGGAGAGGATAGTATAGAAGTGGCAGGAAATTATAGAAAATGTTTGCCTGTGTACAAACCAGAGAGTGCACACACCACCTGCCAGGCCACGTCCCTGACTGTCCCCCATTTTTTTACTTTTTGGAGAAAAACATTGACTTGCGTTCTCATTTTTCACATCAAATCACATTCAAATTAACGTCTCTAGGTTACGTATGTAACCATGGTTCCCCGAGGGAACGAGACACTGCGTCGAGTTGCTTTGGGAAAAACTCCCGGGAGCAGAGCGATCGAGGGAAAAGCGTACAGACGAAGCCTCAGCCACGTCTGCACCATGGCATCAAGCCCCAGTGGAGCTGGATGCGTGAGGGAGAACCAGAGTGGACAGTGTGTCGTTTCCTGCGACGCAAATAGATCCACTTCCGCCTTGCCAAATTCCCTCCAAATGAGCTCCACCACCTCGGGGTGACCTTGATCATGCAAAGCGGATTCCCCTCGGGAAAAATCCTTTGGTTCTGAGCCACCACTGCAAGGATCTCATGTACAGCAGGCCAAAAGGTATCACGTTGGACGTCGCTGCCATCAGGCCCAACAGCCTCTGAAACTGTTTGACAGTGAGTGACTGGCCTTCTCTTACTCTCGTGACTGTCGTGAGGATTGACTCGATTCGAACAGGAGACAGACGTGCCTGCATCGAGGTTGAGTCCCACACCACGCCTAAATAAGTGGTTCTCTGTAGTGGAGAAAGAACACTCTTCTTGGTGTTTAGTCAACCCCAGCTCTCTCATACTGTATGGGCAAGGACGACATCTCGATGCCGAGTCGCCATCTGCTCCGATTAAGCTAGTATTAACCAATCGTCGATATAATTGAGTATTTCTTTTGAATAATTTGAGACTGTGGGGCTGTAATACGGGATGAGTATGGTTTCTCCCACAATCTTGACACCTCAGCATGGAGATCGGGGAAAAAGGAAGGCCACCGTCGTGAAGGCTGTGATCTGGATTCAGAAAACGCTCGTCTAATTATTTTTAGGACGAGCGTCCTGTTTCTAGGCTGGCCAAACGATATTTTATTTTGGCGAATGCATGAAAAACACCCCATAATCACTAATCACACCTCATACGCGAGTCCACAGTCTTCTCTGTCTCGACACTTATCACCTCTACCTCCTCGGAGGAAGATAGATGAAGTGCCTGGCTCTCTCTCCGGGGGGAAGAAACCGCAGCGTGGGCTTCTGAACCCAGAGAGAGAGCCATGGATCTAGCGGGTGAGCCCGTCTCGGATCCCTCCGCTAAATCCACTTGCGATCCCCACGACAACAGTCTGCGCTCGGCAACAGCGGGACCGCTGCCAGTGGGATCGCGAGCCTGGCTGCTCTCATCAAACACGGCCAGGCGAGAGCGGAGCGTGCGCAGCGAGAGCAGCTCACAGTCATGACAATCAGCCCCCTCGAGAGCTGACCGTGCATGCTCCGCTCCCAAACAAACGACACACAAATCGTGTGTATCCCCTGCCGTCAGATATCGTGGGCAGGGAGGAACACAGCGTTTGTACTGCCATTCGCTCGCCATAGACTTTCTCATTGTTTTATATATATGCGTGCTTGTGCGGACAGACAACAGTAAATAGACAGACACATACACAGAGCGCTACTGGTTTGCGCCCGGCCGGATGCACTTTTATGCTTTCTTGTGCTTACGTCACCCTGCTCGTGACGTCTCGCTGCTCCATTGGACTGATTTGACACGTGCTTCAGAACGCGGTCACGCAAGGGCGTTCCCAAAGCGACTCGATGCAGCTCGAGTTCCTGAAGGGGAACTGTAACACTCCATAAACCAGATCTTGAAGTGTAAAATAAATTGCATAAATTCTTTCCCAGTACATTATAAAGACAGCTGTCAGTTTGAGAAAATGGCCCACAGTGTGTCTAAATTTTGGATCTCGGCCCTGCTTGAGTTCTGTTTCTCAGTGGAACTGGGTCTGAGGAGGAGGCTAATAATAGCTCAGCGAGCGTCTGCCTCTTTATTGGAACGGCTTACACTGTATAGCTATATATATCCATATGGGTTAAATATAATATCATATACCTCACTTTCATATTGGAGCCAGGACTAAATTACTAAATCCATTTACATAATCCATCTGCTGCATAAATATATACTGTTTAATAGCTTTTCAACAATAATGGCACAGGTGAGAGCTTCACTGAATGGTCTCTCTTTTGAGCTCTTCACGCCTACACTTGTTTGTAATGGACCTTTGTCATGTTTGCATCACTTATTCGAAAAATAGCTGGATCTTTACCTCAACACTATGGTTTTGTTAGCTATAACAGTCCATTCCCTTAAACAATACATTGAAATATGAAAACGCAAAATTATATATAAAATAATATATATGTTATATTCGCCTCTGACACTGTTGCCAAGCGGGAGCCTTTAATTAGCTCATGTCTCCATGAATTAATCATGATGTTTACTATTTGATTGTGACCCAGATAGAAAAAACTTGTTATACATGGAGAAAATATGTCATAGGAAGAATACATATGTTATATTTCTGGACAAATTCCATATTCAACAATAGACTTTATACAGTGGTCAAATAGGCCATTTTGGCCTAGATACAGCAGCAGTTGCATACACAGAGTACATATTGCAGTCTATTTGTGATTATGGGACTGTTTTCCTACTTTTAATGTATGCGTGAGTCCTCATTCCTAACCACACAACTCCCAAATGCAATGTTGAGAGTGTTCAGAAGAGTCTCTTCTTCCAAAGCCCTAAATAAATATTCTGGGTTCAATTTAAGCTCAAATTAACCTCTATCAACAACATTTGTTTGATAATGATTCTTGTCATTAAAAAAAAGGCAAAAATAGTACAAAAACAGTTGGCACTACTTTTTTCTCTTTTTTTTTGAAGCATGAATCAAAATATTTCATATTTATTGTGGTAATCAACATTTAAGAACACAAATCATGTAATTGAATTAAAGTACGAATATTCTAAGGAAAGTACTGCTTTTGAATTGACTTTAGTAAAAATACAAAATATTACATATTTTAATTATAATGCTTATTTTATAAGTAATATTTTACTTCAGTACATTAAAAATAGTATTATAAATATCAAAAGTAAACATAATGATTGATAGACCATTGTTTATTAATTTTGTGCAGTCATATTTAACCTAATCGCTCAAACAGCTGCAATCGGATCAGTCAAATTCACCAATGAATCATTCAGTGCTTGTTGTGAACTGATTCAACAGGTTCACTGACAAGAATCAACTCAAAATAGTGTTGAATTTGTTCACAAATTTGACAATGGTGTTGAGTCTAGGGGAGTGTTGTGGGGGAAGTCGTGGGTGGGGGAAGTCGTGGCCTAATGGTTAGAGTCGGACTCGTAACCCAAAGTTTGCGGGTTCGAGTCTCGTACCGGCAGGGATTGTAGGTGAGTTGTGAACTGATTCAACAGGTTCACTGACAAGAATCAACTCAAAATAGTGTTGAATTTGTTCACAAATTTGACAATGGTGTTGAGTCTAGGGGAGTGTTGTGGGGGAAGTCGTGGGTGGGGGAAGTCGTGGCCTAATGGTTAGAGTCGGACTCGTAACCCAAAGTTTGCGGGTTCGAGTCTCGTACCGGCAGGGATTGTAGGTGAGGGGAGTGAATGTACAGCGCTCTCTCTCCCACCTTCAATACCACAACTGAGGTGCCCTTGAACAAGGCACCGTACCCCCAACTGCTCCCCGGGCGCCGCAGCATAAATGGCTGCCCACTGCTCCGGGTGTGTGTTCACGGTTTGT